GGGGACACACGGGGGGCACTGGGATAGGGGGACTGCAGTGGGGGGGCACACGTGGGGGCACTGGGATAGGGGAAATGCAGTAGGGGGCACTGGAGCACGGGGGGGCACTGGGATGGGGGACTGCAGTGAGGCTGAAAATGTGGTTGAGGGGCCATTTGGTGTGTGTGGGGGCAACAGGACTCACTGGGGAGCGAGCACAGCAGGGTGAATAAGGGGTGCACAGAAGAGGGAGGAATAGGTGGGGGTTAAACCCCAAAGGAGAGGGAGGCAGGAAATGCAGTAGGGGGCACTGGAGCACGGGGGGGCACTGGGATGGGGGACTGCAGTGAGGCTGAAAATGTGGTTGAGGGGCCATTTGGTGTGTGTGGGGGCAACAGGACTCACTGGGGAGCGAGCACAGCAGGGTGAATAAGGGGTGCACAGAAGAGGGAGGAATAGGTGGGGGTTAAACCCCAAAGGAGAGGGAGGCATTAGCCCCCTGTACTATATCTGGCAGATAGCAGAGACACGTTTTTCAGTGTTGCTGCTATAGGGAGAGTTTTATGTAGGAGTCCTGACGTTTATGTGGCAATGCAACATGCTAACGTTTTTGAAAAACATTACAGTGTGGCATGAAAATACTACTGGCTTGTAAAATCATGTAATGATGTTTCATAAATGACCCTTCTCCCCCCATGCAGTATGGCTTGGTGACCTGTAAGCAGAGTCTTGCAAGCACCCCTGAAAATTATTAAGAGTACAAGTAGGCAGAATCATTCTCTGAAAATTGACATTGCCTCAGAAATGTGCATGCGGGGACAACCTAACTAAGAATGTGGGCCATGCCTGTAGGATGGAGAACTCTATGCTGGGAAGTAGTGATTCTGAAAAAGATTTGGGGGTTGTGGTGGATACTCACTGAACATGAGTGCTCAGTGCAACATGATGGCGAATGCATTCCTTGGATCTATAAAATGGGCTCTTGAGTAGGTATCGAGAGGTTATTTTACCTCTGTATTTGGCACTGATGGAACTATTTAAATAATCTTATCCAGTTCCAGTGTCCACAGAGAAGAGCCATGAGAATGATTAAAGGATTAGAAGAATTAGAAAACCTGCTTTATAGTGATAGACTCAAGGGACTCAATCTGGTTTAACAAAGAGATTGTTGAGGGTGACTTGATTACAATCTACAGGTACCTACATGGGGAACAAATATTTAATAATTAGCTCTTCAGTCTAGCAGACAAAGATAGAACACAGTGTAATGCAGGATGGGCAATAATTTTTTACCGGGGGCCACTTCCAAAATTTCTGAAGTGGCCCCGGGCTGCTCCGGAAGGGACAGGGCCTCAATTAGAAGGGATGGGGCCAGGATAATACCCTGCTTCCCCGCCCACAGACCATGCTTGGTCTGGGGGTGGGAGATCACGTGAAGTATTTGCCCCCCCCCCCCCCCCCCCGCCCGAGGGTTCCCCTAGGCACCTATGCCCCCGGCGGTGGGAGGAGACTTTGTGCACTCCCCTTTCTGCTCCCAGGCCAATCAGGGTTTGGGGGTGGGTGAGCGTGCAAAGTCTCCCCATGTTCTGCCACGAGTGCATTGTGCTTAGAAGCATGTGTGCTCCTTGCAGGGCGGAGGAAACTTTGTGCGCTTCTACCCTCTCGCCGAGGGTTCCCCTAGGCACCTATGCCCCCGGCGGTGGGAGGAGACTTTGTGCACTCCCCTTTCTGCTCCCAGGCCAATCAGGGTTTGGGGGTGGGTGAGCGTGCAAAGTCTCCCCATGTTCTGCCACGAGTGCATTGTGCTTAGAAGCATGTGTGCTCCTTGCAGGGCGGAGGAAACTTTGTGCGCTTCTACCCTCTCGTAGGCCCTAATTGGCCTGGGGGTGGGAGAGTGGCAGAGCCTCTGTGTGCAGGATCAACCCTGTTGGCAGGCTGTATCCAGCCCACGGAGACCCTTTAGCCCACCCATGGTTTAATGGCTGAAAGTTGAAACTAGACACATTCAGACAGGCAATAAGGAATCTTTAACATAATAATAATTAAGCTTTGGAACAATTTACCAAGGATCACGGTGGATTCTCCACCACTGACAATTTTTAAATTACGATTGAATGTTTTCCCAAAAGATCTGCTCTAGGTATTTTGGGGGGGAAAGTTGTATGGCTGCATTATATAGGAGTTCACGCTAGGTCACTATGGTCTCTTCTGGCCTTGGAATTTAGGAATCTATATTATTTCAGTTAAAAGCATTTGCGGAAAATCATGCCAGTCTAGACGTAGCCGAAGTGTTTATGAACATATACCTCTAAGAGGAGAAAAGCCAGTGTGAGGGCCTAGGTTTTTTAAAAATAATGTCTTTCATGTTTAGGATAATGAAAATGCCTGTAGTAAACTGTGTTCTCTGTTTGTTTGTGACCCTCCAAAATGAGGAATCAGCCCAAATAATCATTTCCTGAGAAAATTTGAGTGCCAGTTTTACTGCCGTTGCCTATATTTACACCCATAGACTAGACCTATAATTTTATAGATTCATGCAACAGAAAATCCCTCTCTTTCTCCTGCCCCTACTGTCCCTAGCAGGCCATACTCAGTATTGATGGGGCTGGAGAGCAGTGCTAAGCAGAGGCACTGCAAAACGGAAGTGTCCGTAAGCATAGCCTATTAAAAGTATCTATGGGAATATGGGAATGGAGTTTTAAAAAGTTTCTTTCCTTTTCTGTTGTGACTGTAAATCCAGTGGTGCATATGTCTATTTTTATCAGCAGCTTCTGGCAGTGTAGAACTTGAAGGATGCCAATTCCACACCCACAGAAAGTCTGACACTGAAGAAGAGGTGGACTAAGCAGGACATGTTTTTGTGAAATCCTGCAAGCTAGTGCCTCATTGGATCAGGAACAAAGGGCTTGGAGGGTCAGTGTGACTGACGGCATGGAGAAGGACTGCGAAGATAGGAAAAGGGGCTCTGGAGTCCCAGTAGGTCAAGGAGCAGAAAACGCACCAGGACATAATGGGTCTTCTCAAGCACCAGATCCAAATGGTGCAGACCTTGGTTGACTGACAGGTCCAAAAATCTGGGATTTCCCAGCCTTTGCAGTCCTTGGAGAACTTCATGGTCACTGTTCAGCAGCCACTGCTTGTCCCAAACTTGCATTACACTGCAATCTCACCCCCCAGGGCTTGATTTTCAGGCCCAGAAGCTGCATTCCACCCTCTACAGCTGCTTGGTGAATGCCACCCACAGCCCTGAATTATTTTTCACAAGGTCTATCAGCAAACTGTCCTTGAAGTTAGCCACATGTCCTCAGTTCTTACAGTATTTTATGTGGGCCTGCAAATAGAAGTGAACCATGTGTCCTGTATTTGCAGCACTCATGACAATAATTCAGAGCTATGCAGGCTCCCTGCTTCTGTCAGAAATGGCATAGACTGCAAAGCACCACGGGTTTGTGTGATTTTTCGTGGATGGTTTGATTGGCTGGGGAAGTTGTATGCTGGGAATCGGACCCCAGCTCCCAAAGAGCCCTAGGCAAGTCATTGTTATATCACAGAGCACTGCAACAGAGTCAAAAGGCATTTTAGCGGATGGCGGTGTGCTCCCTGGAATACTTAATGCAAGTACCCAAGTATGCACGCGCCCCAGCTACACACAGATTATGGCAGCTGTATGCCAATGTAACTTGTGTAGACATGGCCTGACACTGTCCACAGAGACTTAAGATAGCTCATTATTATGCCTTATTCTCCCTCTAGAGCTGGAGCGATTGGGAGTTTTGCATGGATAGGTAATGAGAGAATGGTCCCTCGGGAGCTGGGAAATCATGCTTATTTCTTAGCTTTGACACTCTCCAGCCATTTCTCTTCCCCCAAATTGCTTCTTTACTTCTTTACTTGGTGTTAAAATTGGCCCAAAATGTCTATTCTTGCAGTGCTCTTTGGTTGGAACAAAATGGCAAATATTGCGCAAAAGCTTCCTCTCTACAGCTGTTCTTGTAAAAAAAAAAGAAAAAAAATCCTGCAGCCGCTGATTTCCCCCTAGCTGTCCCTCTCTGCAATGGATCGAGTCTTTTATTTGTTTATGTATTCTCTACTTCCGCTCCATGTGATGCCTTGGGCTAAACAGTATAATCACTCCAGGCCAGTCTTTGTTGTGGAGTTTCAGCGCAGTCTTCTCAGCATGGACATCATCAATTTGATTATCCTAACGTTTGTGGTGATCCCTGTGGGATTCTGCAGGCCAGCAGCTTTCCAAGAGGTAAGTTTGACCTCCAGGGAGAACAGATTCCAAGAATGCTTTTCTCCCCTGTCTGTGGAAATAGGACAATGTGCTTTCATATCACAATTATCAAACCCTGCTCATCAAGAAACTACAATCATCGCCGAATGATCGTTCTGTACCATATAGTTAGTGAAAAGGAAAGAAAATTAAAATGAATAGTTACATTTTTTGCTGAAGTTCTGCAGAGGATAGATGTGCTGAATAAAGTTTTATTTCTGTTTGTTTTTGCTTTGAAACTGTAAAGCTGCTTTTTTTCTTTTTGCAGAAATTTCTCCAGGCGCTGAATCCAGAAGATGTTTTCTCTTATTTTGGCACCAGTAAAGTTCTTGATGGTATACAAGCCTTCAGAATTTTGTCATGTGTCGTGTGTAAAATTGTTTGTGATTCTGTATATTGGATAGCAATAAGGACACAATTTTATTGATGTTACCCCTGATATTGCAAACACGTACGCTTGAATGACTTTAGACATGCAAGTAGTCTGGTTCAAGTATGTGTTTACAGAATGGGGTCTGCTATTTGGAAATCAGATCTAGTAATTGTTTTAGCACTTTTCTTTTTCACTTCTCCTGCATATTGTTATTGTTTTAGTGCACAATTAATAGAATGAATCTGCATATTGCTATTGTTTTAGTGCACAATTAATAGAATGAAAGATTCTAAATAATCCTGGAACAGATCCAAACCAGCCGTGTACCAGGCTATAGATTGCAATGATGATTTTATGTGTTTTTAAATACACATTTCAAGAAAATATAATACTTTTAGATTGCTAATATTTTAGGATTATGATGCTGTTTCGATTTAGGCAAGATTCTCAGAGAAGGAACTTTGTGTATTTATGTGTTTTGTACAGTGCTCAGCAATAATAATTTGCACATCTATGATGCTTTTAATCGGATGAACTCAAATTACCTTACTGCTTGTGAAATAAATTGTTATTCCCATCTACAAGTAGAGAAATGGAGGCAGAGAGAGGTTACAAGTCTTGAGCAAGGGCAGGTCTACACTAATGGGCAATATTGACCTAAGTTACGCGTAGCTGGAGTTGACACAGCTTCGGTTGAATTGCCGCAGGGTCTCCACTGCAGGGGTTTGATGGGAGAGTTCTCTTACGCTTCTCGTTCTAGTGGAATACCAGAGTTGATGAGGGAGTGATAGGTGGTTGATTGAGTGGGTCTTTACTAGACCCCCTAAATCAGGAGTGGGGAACCTCAGGCCGGGGGCCAGATGCGGCCCTCAGCATGCCTGGATCTGATCCCCAAGGCTAAAGGCCCGCCCCGGCATTGGGGAGCCTGTGCTGATATTCCAGCCACCCTGCTGTCCCCCGGTGGCTGGAGCACACAAAATCTACTAGGCTGGGGCCCCCTAGGCTCACAAGAGGAATGGGGGGAGTATCTTTCTCCTTCTCCGTCAGGGGCCAGAATGAGGTTCCCCCCCCCACACACACACACTTCTCAGGCTATGTCTAGACTGCAGGCTTCTTTCAGAAGAACCTTTTTTCAGAAGAGATCTTCCAGAAAAACTTATTTCAAAAGAGAATGTCCACACACAAAAACCGCATTGAAAAAGTGATCTGCTTCTAGTGTCCACACTGAATGGATGCTATCTCACACTTAAAATGTGATTGCTATGGACTGAGTGGCCACCAGCACACTTGTGCTTTTTCCTCTTTCCTCTTCTTGCGAAAGAACTCCCTCTTCCCCATCCACACATGCCTTTTTCTGAAAGAGCTCTTTCGGAAAAAGGCTTCTTCCTCATAGAAAGAGGTTTACCAACGTCAGAAAAAACCCTCTGTTCTTTTGATTTACTTTTGGGAGACTGTGACTGCAGTGTGGATGTAACTCAGGCTTTGTCGGAAAAACGGCCGTTTTCTCGACACAACTCTGTAGTGTAGACATACCCTGTCACTTGTGTGCATTCCTTGACTGATTTTTTTCTGTGGGTCAGTGGCCACTGATCCAAAAAAGGTTCCGCACTCCTGCCCTAAATCGATTGCCACAGTGCTCATCTCTGCGTAAGTGTAGACATGGCCTAAGTTCATACAGCAGGTCAGTTTCAATGCTAATAGAACCTGGATCTCCTGATCACCAGTTCTTTGCTTTAGCTGCAATGCTGTCCTCAATTTCAGGGCTGATAGAAATACAGAGGATCAGGTTGATCGACATAATTAAAGGGAAAAGGTTCTTTGGAAAGTATTGTTTTTCATGGACGCTGATAGTTATTTTTACATTCCCATACATCATTATTATTACTGTGAATTGTGTCTGGAATCCTAGTAATTTTGGTTATTTCTTCCAGTACCAGAATTTGTTATTGCTCAGCCATCTTGTCCCTGTGAAGAGGACCAAGTTGAACCGAGATCTTGTAAAGTTCAACGTTGCTCCCTTATGGCCTGGGGAGAACCCTACAGCTTTGAGTTCCTAGAGGACTGTGTTCTTTCTTCCTTCGTGAGCGATCGAAAGCTGAACTCCTCTGTTAGTTTACTAAAGCGATTCCCAGGCAGTTGCTTTGCTGGGGGAAGAGTACTGCACCCTGCAGGGGCTAAATGTAGAGTCACTTACTGCGAAGGGTGGCTGGTGAGTATGCAGCATCGGCTTTGAGATCAAAACATGGGCTGAATTTACAACCACTAATGATCAAGGATGTTTTTGCTCTGTGCACACTTGGACAATTGTCTCAGAGTGAAGCTTCAGGTGCTTAGAAAGCAAAGCATCAGATCAGAAATGAGGGGTCAGAGTGAAATTCATTCTTATGGCGAGGGCCAAGGGGGGTATGTCTAGACTACATTGTTTTTTCGAAAAAAACCTGCCCTTTTTTCGAAAAAACGTCACCTGTGTCCACACTGCAATCGCGTTCTTTCGAAATTAAATCGAAAGAACACAGGGTTGGATTTTTTTGACATTGGTAAACCTCAAATTACGAGGAAGAACACCCTTTTTGAAAGGGCTCTCAAAAACAGGCCTGTGTGGATGCAGAACAGGGACATTTTTTGAAAGAAGAGGCAATCGAAAAAAGCACAGGTGCTCTGGTGGCCATTCTGTGAATAGCAATCAGGGCTTTCGAGAGAGTGTCCATGCAGTCTGGGTGCTCTTTTTTGAAAAACAGACCGCTTTTTCGATCCGGTTTTGAGGTGTGGCTGCTCTCTTTCGAAAGAAGCTTGCAGTCTTGATGTACTCTGTGAGGACTATGCACAATATAGGCATTGTCTACAATAACACCCCCACACACACACTTCAACCTACCCTATGCAGCTTCAGCTATGCAAGTAGCATAGCTTAAGTGGACATATTCACCATGGCATTTTCCACGTGGTAAGGTCAGTGGGGGCTGCTCTCCCATCAACTCTAGCTATTCTTCTCATCCTGGTGAAGTACTGGACTTCAAAGGAGAGTGCTCAGGGATTGATTTATCATGTCTCAAAGCTGCAGTGTTGATCCATCGCATCGTGGAGACAAGCCCATAGAGTTCCACTGTAAAGGTCTTGTGAAGAATGCTTGGGGGGCAAGTGGGACTTTCACGGTGCATTTGCTTACTGCTGGATTCTCTGCCCTGAGAAAAGTTTCACGCTGAGCTTGGAATGGGAAAAAAAAGCGTGTGGAGGGGTGGGGGGCAGCATTTACTTTTTGTATACCAATGACTATTTGGTGATGGGTCCAAAGCCCAAAAGTCTGGAGCTGGATCCAAACTTCCCTTCTAGGCCATGGTGATGGGTCCAAAGCCCAAAAGTATGGAGCTGGATCCAAACTTCCCTTCTAGGCCCAAGGGGATTCAAATCTGGTGTTTGGGTTCAGATCAGTTTTACAGAAGCTTGAGCTGAGACGTTCAAATCTAAATTTCCCCCAGAGTTTGAAGGGTTTTTGATCCAGCCTGGTGGCTTAGGACTGTCTCTCCTCACTCTCCAGCACTGGAAGGGCATTTCAGAGAGTCCATTCAAATGGTGTGGTGGTTCTGAAGGGTTTGCAGTTCCGTACGGTGCCTGGGACCACAATTTTGCCATGAGGAAAGGCACAAACAGGCATATAAATAAGGCCCGCATCTCCTCAAAAGGTTTCAGAGCTTTCAGTAATCTGGCAGTTTGGAGTTCATCCAACCCCTTCTGATGATGGGATGCTGTGTCAGATATTCCATGGCAATAATAATAATTAGCGGTGACTTAGTGGCCTTTCCTGTGAAGATCTGAAAGTGCTTTATAACATTAATGAACCAAGCTCCACACTGCCCTGAGGCAGATAACAATAACCCCGTTCTATAGACGAGAACACAGAGAGGAGAATGACTCGCTCAGCAATTTGGCGGTGGAGTCAAGAGCAGAACGTAGGAAACCTAACACCTAGTTCCCTGACTCTCACTGCTAGGCCTCACCCCCTCTTAGTTTATAGTGGAATCCTACTGATCACAAACGAACAGGAAGGCTTTGGTTTTTCCATCCTCTTGTCTCAGACATGTTGAGTCTTGCCTGCGGGAAGCTCTGATTGGGCAAATCTTGGCGGTAACGGATAAAGCGGGAGGAGAGGTTGTCTTTGATGTTCTCTGGTGGTGAATGCCTCTGGAATAATGTGGGGGTGGAATGTTGCTTGCGTTAGGGCGGTGTTGTCATTGTGAATGAGGAAGAGATTCACATCAGACCGGTGAGACGCAAACACCTGACCGTGCTGGAAGACCTCAGCCTCCCCACACCCCACGTCATCTTCCGAGCTGCACGGAGAGGGACAAGGACGATAGGAGGTATTGGATGTCTCGGGGCTGAGGGAGGAACCACTGGCCCCGTTCTGCCCTGGCTTTGTGCCTGCCATCAGTGGGGCTGCAGAGTGACAGCGAGGGCAGGACTTGTTGCCATCACAACATGATGCTTGTCCAACGCACTGAGATTAAGTGAGGCTCTCGCTGCGGCCTGTGTAGTCCAGGAGTCTAGGCCTTGAATGAGACCGAGCTTCACTAGCGCTCTCTATCACGCTCCGGTCTGCTTTCACCATTGCTGAAATAACATAGCTGCAGGAAAGACTCAGAATGTAGCTTGGTTGGATTGGCCTGGCCTTGTCACTCACGGTTACTGCCAAACCCAGGAACAAAGAGAGATGAACAACAGCGGAGAACCTCAGGGTATGACGGTGGGATATCGTGTGCATGACGCCCGGGGCCCCAGCAGCAGCTAATAGAAATCAGAGGAGAAGGGACTCCGCTAAGAATCTGGAGGAAGCAAGCTTGCGATGTGCTCTTGAGTGTTCGATGGTCTGGAATGGACTCATGGGGGCTTCCCTGCCTCCTCCCATCCTAAGCTCCTTTGTATTCCCTCGTGGTGTTGTAGAAAGAAAGTCTCCGCCTCGTCTTTGGAAAAGGGCTGAGGGAAGCGTCGTGCACCTGGAGCTGCTGGTGGTAGTGGGCCCAGACGTTTATCAGTTCCACAGAGAGGACACCGAGAGGTACATCCTTACCAACCTGAACATCGTGAGTGGCTTTCTGTTCGATGTCCGTGCTGCAGTTCCTGATCCTGGGCAGGGGGCTTGTGTTGGAAGGGACGTCAGGTGGGGCCCTTCGCAAAATGTTCTGAAAATGCCTCCACAGAAGTGTGTGGGACCCCGTTGTCCCCTGGTAGGCCCAGAATACTGGGACTGGGGGTGCAACACAGCCACTTCAGTGTGCAGCCATCAGCTTTGCGTGGGCTAGGAGACCTCCGCCCAGCAAGCTGCACGCCAGAAGGAAGGGCATTCTCAAACAATGAGGGAGGCGGCTCTAAAGCACAACTGGAAATCTATTAATTTACCTAGTGCCCGTTTGGGCAGGTATCGGCTCCAGCATGTCCGTCAGTGCCTATGGATTTAAGCCAGGGTTGGATTGGGCTCTATTTGAGGTGACCCACCATTTCACTTGATGGGTTTTAACATTCTAGTATTCGTTTTCTCACAGCGGTCTGCATGTCACTCTGTTTTCCTGGGGATGGCAGGGGCTGGGGGACTCTGAGGGGCCCTGACATTTATTTCCACATCCCTCTGCTGGAGGCGTTTCGTCGAATGGGCGTTCGCGGACAGGCTTTGTGGCTTACACTGAGTTCAGGTCTCAAAGGGATCCAGGTCCTGTCTGTAATGGTGACTGCAGATTTTTATAATTCTCATTATAATTACCTGGTGTGTCACGCTGGTAGCGCGTCCAGCTGGGATGGTGGAAGAACCTCGGTATACGCGGGATGCCTCAGTGTCAAGGAAGGGCCCAGACAGGAATCACAATGACACCTTCGTTATGAAACTCCTCCTGGAGCCTGTTTTCCCTTTTCCAGGGTGCCGAGCTGCTGAGAGACGCCTCGCTGGGAGCTCAGCTTAGGGTTCACCTGACGAGAATGATGGTCCTGACTGAACCAGAGGTAGAAAATGGGAGGGGAGGTGTCCCAAATCCTGAAAAGGGCCCATCACTGAGGCAGAGCCCAGCTCTCCACAGAGGGCTTGCCATCTTGTGACAAGGCTACTCCCATGTGAAGATGTGTCTTCTCTGTAGGTGGGTATAAACATCACCACGAATGTCACCTCCTCCTTGGTCGGGGTCTGCGAATGGAGCAAGAAGGTCAATCCCCCGAGTGACTCGGATCCCCAGCACGCCGACCTTGTCCTCTATGTGACCAGGTAACAGAACTGCCCTGACGGAAGGAGATTGGAGACCTCAGCTCAGGCCGGCAGACTTAGGCAAACCCCAGAAACTGCAGGATGTGCTCAAAGGGGATGAGAGCAAAGTGAACAGTGGGGCCTTACGGTTCTCCTTCTGAGGGTGGCTTGTTGTGATGTAAAAAAGCCCTCATGCCCTTTGTCTCTGTGGTCTGGAGCGGGGGCTGGGGTGAGGTGTGTGTGTTCCAGTGTTGTCTTCAGGTTGTCATTGTCAAGTCCAAGTCGAGTCTCAAGTCTCAATTTAAAAAATGTCAAGTCACTTTTGTACAAGCCATCAATATTGGCCTTTTCGGACAAGTTTTTCACCACGAAAATTAACAAGTCTCAAGTCGAGTCTCAAGTCACAAACAATGAACCCGAGTCGAGTCATCTAGGTGACGTAAGTTGGACTCAAGTTCAAGTCGTGGGACTCAAGTCAACAACTCTGGTGTGTTCTGCACGTCCACACCCACCAGCTCCCAGAGCTCAGATGGGTGTTCAGCCTCCAGCATTCAACAATTCTGTTTCCTCAGCTTCAGTGGTAACTGGAATATCCCCGGGGAAGTGGCAACCGGACTCAGAACCATTCAAACGGAGGCCACTTTACCAGCAGTGATTGCGGGGGTCACAGGAGGCCCACATAAGGGTAGAAATGTCTAGAAGAGTCTAGTGGTGGTTATAAACTCCCCAGCTACAGAGATTCCCTTGCTCTGACTCTCAGGGCATGTCTACGAGTTATTTTGAAATAACAAGGCGAGCACTCACACTGCCAAGCCTGCTATTTTGAAATAATAACTCCTGCTCGCGAAGAGGAATAAGCTTATTTTGAAATAGTTATTCCAGGATTTATTTCAAAATAATCTGATAGTGTAGACATAACCTCACAGTCCTACAGGCCACTTGGCTCACAGTCTCAATTGACTAGCTAATGATGCCGGCCAAGCTCTGGTGGAGTGTAATGGCTTTTCTCTGAACAGAGGGGATTCTGTATCTCTCTCCTGCAGATGGGGTTATAACCTTTCCTTCTGCTCCCTGTGCCTGGACATTGCACCTGCTTTCAAATCTTGAGCTATGAGGGAAGGCTGAAGGAATTGGGCTTGTTGAGTTTGGAAAAGAGCAGACTGACAGGGGACATGAGAGCGGTTTTCAAGTATCTAAAAGGGTGTCACAGGGAGGAGGGGGGGAAATTGTTCTCCTTGGCCTCTGAGGATAGGAGAAGAAGCAATGGGCTTAAACTGCAGCAAAGGAGGTTTAGATTGGACATTAGGAAAAACTTCCTAGCTGTCAGGGTAGTTAAACACTGGAATAAATTACTTAGAGAGGTTGTGGAATATCCATCACTGGAGATATTTAAAAGCAGGTAAGACAGACATCTATCAGGAATGATATAGACCAGTGTTTCTGAACCTTTTTTTCAAAGTACCCCTTTAAAAAGATTATAAGTACCTACAGTTTTCAGACACACAATTTTTTTATGCAAAATATTTCTTTAAACAACTTAATTGTAGCCAGGCAGGAGATGAAATTTTTGGGTGTAAAAAGCACAGAAATAATAAAGCTCTTTAAAACTTAAACAAAAATTCAGTTTTCTCCAAATTTCAGTTGTCTTGACGTACCTCCCAGAAGTCTCTCGAGTACCCCTAAGGGTACTCGTACCACTGGTTGAGAAACACTGATATAGACTGTGCTTGGGCCTGCCATGAGGGCAGGGCACTGGACTTGATCTCTCAACGTCCTTTCCAGTTCCTGTATTCTACGATTCTATCTTAGTGTGGGGAGATGCACGTATCAAAGAGGAAAGGGGGCGGTAAATTCCTGGTGAGCGTGAGCTGGGAGATGCTAATGGGATTTTCAGTTGATAGTGTTCACTGCCTGGGTTTTTAAGCCTAATGAATCTGCTCTCCTGTTCTCTCCACACCTGTCTCACCCTTCCCGGAGGTTTGACCTGGAGTTAGCTGATGGAAACAAGCAGATGCGCGGAGTCACCCAGCTGAGGGGAGCCTGCTCTTCCTCCTGGAGCTGCGTGATCACTGAGGACACCGGCTTTGACTTGGGAGTCACCATAGCCCATGAGATCGGTCACAGGTCAGAGGGCGAGGCCCACCGAGACTCCCAGCCGGGGACTGGAACTGCCCCGGGTCCCTACAATTTAATGCTATGGATCAGCCATTTCCCTCAGCGAAAATCAGCCCCTGTTGGCAAGCTGAGTTCAGGGGGTGACAGAGTCACTGTGGATGGTGCTGGGGATTCCTCAGATTACTTAAAACCCAACTCTGGAGAGAGGAAGGGGAATGAGGGCCCAATGCTGCCCTGCAAGGTTCTGAGCTCCCTTAAAACCCATCGTCTTCTCTGGGAGCGGAGAGGGAATGAGGGCCCAACGCTGCCCTGCAAGATTCTGAGCTTCCTTAAAACCCATCGTCTTCTCTGGGAGCGGAGGGCACTCATCACTTCAGGAGGGACTGCATAGAGCCAACGCTCTTCTGTGCAGACATTACCCATGCTTGCTCCGTGTGCTGCCAGCTGGGTTCAAGCCCTTCAGATGGCTCCGGTCAGTCTTGCTCAGTGCTCCCTGTTGTGACGTGGCGGGATCTTGCTCTAGAAAACGGTGGTGACTCTGGGTGGCGTAACAGGGCGTGAGGTAAACAGTGTGCAGGGAGTTCCCTCTGGACAGAGTGGGGGCAGCCAAGGGAAGATCAGCGACTAGAAAAACAGAGCAACACAGAGGCTGAGATTTATAATCACTGGCCCAAATTCTCTGTCAATTTGTGTTGCTTTCTTGGCGGAGCTGTGCCTGTTTATGCTGGCAGAGAATTTGGCCCATTGTTTTGCTTGAGCCACGTCATTCACAACCAAAGATTTCTGTCAGCATCAGGTGTAATGGAGCCTCTGGGACGCCCTTTCCCCAGTCCTTTGTCCCTCAGGCCTCTTTAGCCTGTGTAAACTCTTCAGCCCACAGACAGTGCGAGGCACAAGGGGTCCATGATCCTGACTGGGCCTGGAGGCAGGAATACCCAGTAAGCACTAGTGTTCTTGAGGAGAAAGTGCTGTGCTGTGGGGAACAGGAGGTCCAAGGTCTCGCCACATGGGCCTGAGGGTCTCAGAGTACTTTATAAACAATTAATTTTGCCTCACAGCACAGCCATATAACAGGGAAACACTACTGACCCCACATCGAGAAACGAAGGCACGGGGGTGGGAGGAATGTCTTAGCCGGGATCACACCATCGCTCCTGGAATCCAACGCAAGAGTCATGACTGGAACTGCCCCATGTCCCTACAATTTAATGCCAAAGGATCAGCTGGATAATATCAGTCACCCCCCCCCCGCCATTTATCTCTCGCTGCAGTTTTGGAATCCAGCACGATGGCGAGGGGAACCTGTGCAGCGGGAGCGGCAACGTCATGGGCGCTGAAGGCAGCCACAACAGCGTGGACCTGGTCTGGTCAGAGTGCAGCAGAGAGCAGTTCCTTGCCTTCATCAGGTAGAAGGAACCCGCGGCTCTCCTCGCTCATCTGCAGGTCTGCTGTGCGGGGAGGTAGCGAGCCAGAGGAGAAAGGCAAGGGATGAGGTGGGGGACCCTGGGAGAACGAGGAGCTATAATTGCTCTGGGCTTTGTTGATTTAGAAAAGAGGAGACGAGGAGGGGACCTGAGAGCAGCTTTCAAGTTCCTAAAAGGGGGTTACAAGGAGGAAGGAGAAAAAGTGTTCTCCTTGGCCTCTGAGGATCGGACAAGAAGCAAGGGGCTTAAATTGCAGCGAAGGAAGTTGAGGTTGGACATAAGGAAAAACTTCCTAACTGTCAGGGTGGTTAAACACTGGAATAAATTGCCTAGGGAGGTTGTGGGATCTCCATCATGGAAGATATTTAAGAGCAGGTTGGATAGACATCTGTCAGGGTTGGTCTAGACCAGGGATGGGCAAAAGCCTCCATGGACTGGATCCGGCCCACCAAGCAGATTGATCTAGCTCGCAGAGATCCTGCCTCTCCCTGCCCCCAGGTCAATCAGGGATTGATCTAGCTCACAGAGATCCTGCCTCTCCCCTGCCCCAGGTCAATCAGTGTCTTGGCCCCACCCCTTTTTCCCGAGCCCCTGCTCCTTGTGGAGCAGCCCAGGGCCACTTCAAAAATTTCTGAAATGGCCCCCGGTCAAAACTTATTGCCCACCCTTGATCTAGATGGTGCTTGGTCCTGCCGAGGGTGCTTGGTCCTCCCCTGCTTGGTCCTGTGAGGGCAGGGGCTGGATTTGACGACCTCTTGAGGTCCCTTCCAGCTCTACGACGCTACGATTTTATGCAGGAACAAGTGGTGAAGAGAGCTGACTTCTCTGAGCCTAGCACAGTGCTGCTGGGACACCAAGAACTAACTCCCAGACTGAAAGCCTCATGCCCGTGTTAGCACGTGGGGCATCCTTGCTGAGTGTGTGCAGGAAAACAACGTCTCTTGTGGCTTTCCCAGGACAAGCCAAGCAAGCTGCTTAAACGACCTGCCGGCCCTGGAGGGCAGCATCCCTGGGTGGAAGCCCGGCTTATATTACGGCGCGGACGAGCAGTGTAAAATAGCCTTTGGGAGCGCAGCGGCGGCGTGCACCTTTGCCAGGAATGACATTGTAGGTAGAACACTTTCCACCTGGTTACGTCCACCCCTGAAATACTGCAGCTGGGATGGCGCTGGTGGCCCAGCAGGGTGGGAGGCTGGTTCTGAGAAGGTGACAATGTTCATCTGCCGGTGGGGCTCTTGGCAGAGAGCAGGCTGAAAAAGGGATTTGGAACATTTGCCCTTTTCCCCCCTCTCCCCCTTTCTCTCCTCAAGTCTCCTCGTCCATGTCATTTAACATTTGCAATGCAATAGTGCCCCCAGGCCCTGACCTGTGCTAGGTGCTGTACAAACAGCCAGGGAGAGAGATTCCGTGTCATGAGGCACTCACCATCTTCCCTCTCTTATTCTATTCCATCTCTTTGCTTTCCGGATCCCCTTAGCTCCCTCCCTTAGACAGGTGCAGGAGCAGCCCAAGGCCGGCTGCAGCAGCTGGCGCCCTAGGCGGGGCGGCTAATACTTTTCAATATGCTTGAATCAAAGTTCAGAACTTTCTATTCTGTGAAAAGCTTCAATATTTTGACCGATTATTATCCTAAAGCAGAACAAAGTGTTGAATTTCCATGAGATGAAGATTCCTTTTTTCAATTAGCTTTGAACTGAATATGGTATTATTTCACGTTACCTCTCCTACCTTGTTGCTCAGCTTAGCGGTGCACTGTTTAACAAGTGTTCCATTCCACCACAGAAGTGGATGCAGTTTGGTGATGGGCAACTGATTCCTGAGACGTTCAGACATTTTGTGAAAGTCTTTTGGATGCTCCATTACAAAACATGCAGGAACAATTACAATAATTTTAGATGTTTTTTCCCTCTCTGGAGCCCATCAATAACATTCCGAGCATTAGCCAGGAGGGCTGAGGGTAACCCAGAGAAGTGTCGTACTCCACAACCAGAAGAGGATGAATAAACACGCCTAGCTATTACTAGCCCAAGGAGCTTAGGTCACAAACTGGGCTGCATATCACCTGCTTCAATATTTGTATACTTTATCATGCAAATGTGCAGATGACTTTTATAAGAATGTGCATGTTTATACCTGAAGTAGGTAAATGTAGTAGGCAGAGAAGACAGAAAAGTCATTTCAAAGTGACTGTTTGTCCAATATCCTTTGCAGGGGTGGCCCGAGGTGGACTGCGGCAGCTGGCGCCCCAGGCGGAACACGCAATCGGTGCCCCTGCCTGCACGGCCATCAATGGCCGTGACGTCATCATGGGGCACCCAGACCAGCGGTGCCCTAGGCAGCTGCCTAGCGCACCTAGGCTCACGGGCCGTCCCTGGACAGGGGCAGTTCACTGCTGTTCACAGGCCATGCGCTGCATTGGTAATGCATCTTGTTAATGCTAATCCGGCTGCAAACCTCAGATGCCCCGACTAAACCTCTTCATGTGTCTGTGCAATTGGCAGTGCCAGTCACTGGCAGCACTTACACTGCCTGCCACATGTGGCCTGGGCATCTCCTCTCGCTGATTGAAAGGGAAGAGCTCGGGAAATTGCCTAAGACATGGGATTTGGAGGGAGAGCGTATGTGCTGGCTTCAAGGTTCCCTCTAAGCTGCGTGGCTGCACAGCTCAGGGGGCTCAGGGCTCCATGCACAGAGCTGCCTGGTGCAGGGAGCTGCTGCTATCGCTGAGGAAGAAATGCCCCTCCTCCAGCCAGGCAGCTCCATATGCAAATCCCTGAACCCCTGGCTGGGCAGAGCTCATTAAACTGCTGTCAGGTCGCGCTGCAGCACACAGCTTAGAGGGACTCTTGGCTGGCTTCCTGCTAGAAGGAAGCCGGTTGGTGGGTGTTGGTGAGGCATGCTCTCTCCTGCTGCTGCCTGATATCCTGTGCATTGGTAGGATAGGGGCGGGAATGCAAGTTGAGAGACTGACACAAGATTTTAGGGCGCTCACTGAACAGCCTGGCTTCCCTGCCCTCCCAGGATACGTGCAGAGTTCTTTCTTGCCACACTCATCAGGCTGACCGGACCAGCTGTACTCGTCTTCTTGTTCCCCTTCTGGATGGTACCGAGTGTGGGATCAATAAGGTAAAGAGTCTCCAGGGGCCGGGAAGATTGGAAGTGGGCATGGGCAGCTACCAGGCACATCAGGTGGCAGGGTGGCGCAGTGTGTGTCTGAGGGGCACACTGGATGGTTGGGTGGTAGAGTGGGTGGCTATAGGGCATAGTGGATGGCGGATACCAAGAAAGAATGAGCTTCCTTATGTAGAACACTGAGTCTGAAGAGTGATGGAAAATCCACCACAACCCTGGGTGCTAAATTGTTCCACAGGTTAATTAACCCCATTCCTAAAAATGTGCACCCTATTTCCTGTCTGAATTTGTCTGGTGTCATCTTCCAGTCATTGGGTGATCCCATTGGCTGCTGGATTGAAGAGCCTGTTCTCAAATATGCTATTGATACAGGGTGTTTTCACTGTTTCAAGAGATGACTAAGGGGCGATCTGATAGAGGTCTATAAAATCATGACTGGTGTGGATGAAGTGAATAAAGAAGAGTTATTTTCTCCTTTTCATAACATAAGAACGAGGGGTCGCCAAATGAAATTAATAGGCAGCAGCTTTAAAACAAACAAAAGGAAGTATTTCCTCATACAACACACGGTCAACCCGTGGAACTCCTTGCCAAAGGATGTTGTGAAGGCCAAATCTATACCAGGGTTGAAAAAAGAGCTAGATAAATTCATGGAGGATAGGCCCATCAGTGGTTATTAGCCAGGATGGGCAGGGATGGTGTCTCTAGCCTCTGTTTGTCAGAGGCTGGAAATGGGTGACAGGAGAGGGATCACTTGGTGATTCCCTGCTCTGGCATTGGCCACTGTCGGCAGACAGGACACTGGGCTAGATGGACCTTTGGTCTGACCCAGAATGGCCGTTCTTATGTTGGAATGTTCTTATGCCCATCATGGTAGGTAGAGCTGGAGGAGAAGATGCCTCACTCAGCTCCTTCTCACATGTTTTGGGGTCCAATTCCTTCACCTCCCCTCCCAGGCAGGGGAGTGAGTGGTGCAGACGATACTGTGCCCTTCTAGGGGCATTTCTCCCAGCTGAAGGGGCAGTGTTGCTCCCCACAGCTCCCCGCTGTAGCAGCTGTGGCTTTGCTGTTGCTGATCTCGGGGTGTTCTGGGTTCCAGTGGTGCTCCAAGGGACACTGTAGCTCTCTGGAGGAGCTGAACCCGGTGGCAGTGGTGCATGGGCAGTGGTCCAGCTGGAGCCCCCTCACTGCCTGCTCCCGCAGCTGTGGAGGAGGAGTTGTAACGCGAAGACGACTTTGTAACAACCCCAGGTAAAGACTTTCCTCTTTCCCAGCGGCACCCGTGGAGATGCTCACAGGGCCTGCCAGCTGTTTGCAGGGCTCACAGGACCTGTACAGCCGCTCTGTTAACACAGACAAAAGAGTCGTTAGGCAGGAGGGTGCATTGAACAACGTCCTGCGCTGTTCCCAGCACGGGCTGTGCTGCATGTTTGCTAATGTAACAAGTTCCTTGTCTCTCTGCAGACAGCAAGTATCAGTCAGGTCTCCTTGCCCTTCCACTGCCCAGGTGTGTCATTGTCTAGGCGAGTCTTTACAGTGCCTTGATCCCTATATCTCTGTGATGGCGCATTGGGGTTTTCCCATCTCCTGCACCCCTGTAATGGCACGGACAGACTCCACCAGCCAGTAGAATAGAGGGAGTTTATTGCTTCTCCAGGATACAGCACAGATGTAATCTGGTTACAGAGCAGGCCTAGGATGCCTCAGCCCCCCTTGAGATGGGGGAGCCTGGGCCCCTAAATCTCAGCCTGTTGCCTAGGCTGCTTCCTCCATGATACCAGACAGAATCTAACTCACTCACTTCCAGCCCTGCCCCCAGCCAGGGCTCCACTCCCCTTCTTCCCATTGTTCCACTCCCTGGGAGATACCTGTCTGAGTTTCGAAGCCCCCTTGCATAATGACTCATCCCCTGCCCTGCTGGGCCGTGCTGCAGCCAGTGGAGGGCACTCACAACCCACTGCCCAGCATAGCAACCAGCAAGGTACCCCCCGCTACGTCACAACTTGACAGCCACGGCCCTGTCCCGATCTATTCTTTATCCCATCCCTGTGCACCATGCCACAGCCCAGCAATCAAATGAACTCCAAATGAACCCAGCACACCAGGGGACGTGCAGATGTGCACTGAAGCCCCTGCGTGCTGCATTCCTGGCTGGCTCTTCCTGATGGGAGTAGGGGGTGGCTCTGCACACTGCTGTTCCCCCACCCTGGAGCTGCATTTCCGTGAGTGCAGGGAAGCTCTGCATCCCTGCACTTGCCTGCAGGCTTCCCCCTCCCCCCTCGCTCCCATTGGCTGGGAATTGCAGGCAATGGGAGCAGTGGGGGGACGGTGCCTGCAAATGCAGGGCAGTGTGGAACCATTTGTTTCCCCCGCCAAATGAGAGCAGTGCCAGATAATCATCCCAATTCCCTGCTCCCTCCCGCACTCTCCCTCACAGACCCTGCACTCCTACCCCAGCCCGCTGCTGTACCCTACCTGCTGCCCAGGCTCCGACCCCCTCTCCCAGCTCACTCCTGCATCCTACCTGCTGCCCACACCCTGCACCCCACCTCCATTCTGCTCCTGCACCTACCTCCTGCCCAGGCCTCACACCCCCATTCCCAGCCTGCTCCTGCACCCTATTTCCTGCCTATGCCCTGCACCATCCTCCACCCCTAGTCCACTCCCTGGCAGCCCCCTCCTGATCATTGAGACCCTCATTTTTGCCCCACCCTGCAATTTAGGGGAGCCCCACAAAAGCTACTAGCCCTAGGCCCCCAGAAGAGTTAATCCAGCCCCGGTCGCTCCATTGACTGGCTGCATTGCCGACTGTGTATGTGTCATTTCATTAGCCAGCTCAGTGTGGTTGACCGTGAGTCAGATCTCAGTGCTGCTGTTAGGCACTCCCTGACCCTATGTACTTGGACAATCAGAATCCTCATTGTTAGGCGGCTCTTCCAGCCTCTGGCTCGACCATAAACAGATCCTCATGTCTGTTGTTTTCAGGCCTGCATTCGGGGGTCAGGAGTGCAGGGGAGCAGACCTCCAGGCTGCGATGTGCAACACGCAGGTAGGCTGTCTTCTCTCGCACGCCAGGTCTCGCTCCCATGACCAGGCAATGTGCTGGCAGTGTAAGAGGCCGTTTTTAACCCTTTGAGAGCTGTACCATGCACAGCCACAGCTTTCCGAGGCAAACCAGTTGATTTCTTTGGGAAGGAAACCAAGCACTGGCCATGCAGTCTCTGTCTGTGTGACCGGTATTTGTTCCACTGTGGCTGAGGCCCATTACTGATTAATAACTGAGCAGCCCCATCAACTTGTAATAAAGCACCTCGTATGGGTACACTGCAGCAGGAGGGGTAGCTCCCAGCTCAGGGAGATGGGTAGCCACTAGGCTTGATAGCCGTGATGGTGCTGGCATGGGCTAGCTGGTTGGGTCCTCAAGTACTTGGAGTCTTGGAGGGGATTGTATTTGGGCAGCCGTCCGTCCCACTGCCTGCGTCGCCATGGCAATACTGCAGCTTTTAGCGTGATAGCTCAATCAAATCAAGCATGAGTCTGTCGTCCCGAGCTGGAAATTGCACCTGCAGTTGCAGTGTACATACCCTGAGTCCTTTTGGTGCAGGACTGTGCTCAAAAGACTAGATTTGCTCACATTTCCCCCAGATATTTATCCATTTGGGGTTACAGGAAAGATAACATCATCTGCACAGCATCTGTCTCCCATTCCTCGCCCTCTCCTCCTCCCCCAACTCTCCTGCAGCTTCGCTTCAATGGGCTAGTCCTCTTCCTTTGCTGTTTTTCTATTTGTCAGCTGCTGCTTTTCACCCCTGAGGTGTTTGCATTTGCACCCCGGAGGTGGAGAAGCGAGTCCTGGAATTCTGCACTCGCTATAGCCCATTCCACTTTGCCTGCATAACAATCTTCCTCTTCCATAGGCCTGTTTGACCACCCAGTTGGAGTTTATGGCTGAACAGTGTGCAGCGACAAACGTAAAGCCGCTGTATCTCCTTCCAGACGTCCCGTCTTTTTATATGTGGACTTCGGCTGCTGGCTATGCCAAAGGTAAAGAGAGAGAGAGAGAGAGACAGAAGTTCCTTTGGGAAGGAGGACTCCCAGAGCGGCCTAAAGCCCCGACCTTAATTGCAAATCAAATGGCAGCTTTACTGGTGGTTACAGCCAGTAAATTCTGTACAATTCCTTTTACCTCCCTCCCACAGTGCAGTTGACTCTTTTTTGCCTTTTTTGCTTCAGTAATTCTTCCTCTCTCCCCATGTCTGTCACCTGCAGGGGATACCCTATGCAGACACATGTGCCGGGCAGAGGAGAAGAATTTCATGGTGAGCCGTGGGGACCGTTTCACAGATGGAACCAGGTGTGAGCCGAGCAACCGTAGAACCAAAGGGGCTTTTGATCTGTGCGTGATGGGCAGCTGCAGGGTAAGGATTTTCCTCCCCACATGTGGATAGTGGATCTAGGTCAAGCTTCCGACATGGGATTTAAACGATTTCAAAGCAGCTAGAGGTGACTTCAGTGCATGACCCTGGCATTCAGAGTGTCTCAAAGTGTAGCATTAAAATGAAGACCGCTGGTGACAGGCGCTAGCACCCACGAGTAAGGAGGATGGGACACGCAGCGTTCCAGAAGAATCTCTGGTCCCCAATCCCATGCGTCTCTGACTCAGTTCAGCCTCACCCAGTGTGCCCTTCACCATCATGCGGTTTAGCACTTTAAGCAGATGGATTCCCAGGTTGCTCCAGTGGAGAAGGCTAATTTGCTCCAAGCCACCTGAGGAACGTGGCAGGCCCCGCAGTCTGATGGAGTTGTCAGCAGCTGTTCAGTTAGTTATGGGAGCTGCACGGGGCCTTGGGTGTGACCGTAACATAAATCTCTCCCGCAGCGGAGGGGAAAAGTAGCATAAAAATGGAACACAGGAAATGCCACTTTGATCACTTCACCTTCTTCCCAAAATGGGCGCCAGGCGCGGGGTCTCGAGTGGAAAGGGCGGGGTTGGGGGGCTTGCCTCCCCACCCTAGGTTCATCCCCAGCCCGTGTCTCGCAGAGAAGGCTAATTCGTCGGGTGGCTCTGCCCTTGGCTCAGGTGTTCGGCTGTGACGGCAGGATGGACTCCGGGATGGTGCTGGATCCCTGCAAGGTGTGCGGGGGAGACAACGCCACGTGCACCAGAGTGAGCGGCTCCTACACGGAAGGAAAAGCCAAAGGTCGGCAAGCCTCCGCCCCGCTCCCCACGTCAGGCCCTTCTCACTTGCCGGGTGCCCCCAAAGCAGATGCAGAGCTCTGCCCGGTTCCTCGGCGGCTTCTGGCATGTGGTTTTGCTTGTTTCGGTTTGGGGCTGAGCAGGCTGGCGGAGGCTGGCAGAGACGGAGACGGGGGAGGTTAATTCTCATGCAGCCTTGGTTCCCTGGCGTGTCTTCCCTTTGTGCTACAGGCAGGGATCCCGACTGCTGGCTGGGGGGGAAGAGCTCAGCCTGGGTGAGTTCTGTAAAACACAGGGGGCTGCAAGCTCTGTCGCTTTCTGCCTGGACAGTACAATGTTGATCTGAGGGGCTGACCTCATCCCGACCAGCACCCTTGGGGAACTACTCTGGAGGGTATTTTAAAACACTGGAAGTGAGCTGAGGGCTTAGGCACCTAGACCGGAGGACGCTGAGGCTGTTCTCAGATCTGCACTGGCTCTCTTGGCCATATTCCTACCAGGGGTGGCTCCAAAGTCAGTGGAGTGACACCGGGGGGAATGTAGTTTTCTCTTAGTCCTCCTGTAGTGATATAAGAACTACCATTCAGGGGAGCTTAGAGCAGCGGCTTTCAAACTACAGTCTGTGACCCAGGACTGGGTGGCGGAATGCTGGGTTCCGGGTCTCTTTGCTGAGAGGTGGCGGGGCTAAGGCAACTACTTGTCTGTGCTGGCACCGCAGACTGTGCTGCTCCCCAGAAGCATCCAGCAACAGGCCCGGCTCCTCGCTGGAGGGCGGGGGAGAATGCACAGGGCTACGCACACTGCCCCTGCCCTGAGCACTTGCTCCGCACTCCCATTGGCTGGGAACCTGCTGTTGGCTGCTTCTGGGGCACAGCATGGTCTGTGGTGCAGGAGAAGCAGGAAGTTGCCTTAGCCCCCCCACTGCACTGCTGACCTGGTAGCCCCTCTTACCACAGCCCTGACACTCCCAAAGCCGGAGCCCTTTCCGACACCCCAAAGCTCTCCTCCTCGGCCCTGCCCTCTAGTCAAATGATGTTGGGTCGTGGGCATCAATGACTTTCTTCACCTGGGTCACGAGAAGAAAAGTTTGAAAGCTGCCAACTTAGAGGGTTACTGTCCGTGAAGTGCTTTGAGATCCTCAGATGGAAGGTGCACTGCAGTTATGAATTACAGACGGTGCAAAAGTGAACGTGACCGCACCTCTGTGTTCATTCCCCAGAGTACGTCACGTTTCTAGCTCTGCCTCACAAGACCACCAGCGTCCACGTCACCAATCGCAAACCTCTCTTCACACATTTGGGTGAGTACAATGGGAAGGCGAGCGTGGCCGGGCCAGGTTGGTGTCTGTGCTCCAGACATGCAGGCAGCCCCGAGGAAAGGAAGGCTGTGGGGAGGTGTCCTGGCAATGCAATCTCTTCGCGTGTTGGGGGACACTCTCTCAATGAAGACGTTCCATTGCTTGGGGTGTTTAAAAGAGACCCGAGAAGTCCTTTGTGGATGTACAGAAGGAAGCCACGTCTCTTGTTGATTCTGTGAGCACATAATCCTCCTTTGCCCTCACTAGCTGTGAAAGTCCAAGGACGGTATGTGGTTGCTGGGAAGCAGAGAATCTCCTTGAACATCACCTATCCGTCGGTAGTGGAGGACAGCCAGATCTCGTACAGGGTCTTTCTCACTGAGGACCACCTGCCAAGCCTGGAGGAAGTCCATGTGGATGGGCCAACCTACGAGGACATTGAGATACAGGTAGCTTGGAAGGGCTGGGAAGGGGATAGCCAGAACTGGTTTGAGGTTGTGGCTCAGGAGAAAGACCTGCAAGGCAGAGTCTGGTGGTGGCTCTGATTTAGAGATGTATGCGACGAATCAACTAGTTGACTATCTGATAAGCAAAAGTTTATTGGATAGTTGACACACTAGGAGATTAGTCGCTTCCCCCTCTTGCTGCCTCTATCACAAAGAGACAGGAAGCGGGGAGAAGAGAAGAGGGTGCTGGAGGGAGCCAGCTCCATGGGAGGGGGCAGGGACGCAGCAGCAGCCAATTATGAAATGTACAAGAGTCCCAAAGAGGACTCTTGTACATTTCAAAGTTGGAACGCAGTATGGAGCCTAGGGCCTGCAGGGAGTCCCCCACTGACCCTGGGCTCCACGCGGGCGTTTTCACTGTGGGGGCTCTTGTACATTTCAAAGCGGAAGTGCCGCATGGAGCCTGGGGTCAAAGGAGAACTCTGAGTCCCCTGCTGGGGCTCTTGTACATTTCTAAGGCGGAATGCAGAAGTCCTTATCAACTAATTGAATAGTCACTGGAAATCCCATCGACTGTTTGCTGATTTAATTAATTGAAATTTAACATCCCTTCTCTGATTCCCCATGCCAGAAGAAATTGAGCTCCGTGCTGGGGATGCTCTCCAGCTCCTGGGCAGCAGTTGAGCACATGTTCTTTGCAGGTTTTCTGTAGATTTCATTGAAGGTTGATGGGGTTGGGGGGAAGAAACCAGGCGAAAACAGCAGAAACCTGGCAGCAGATCTCCCTTGTGAGGCATGAGGTTGGTTCCCTACCCAGAAAGAAACCTAGCTGATGGAATGACAAAGCTGTGTGTCTAATGTCTCAGTTCCCATCATTCATTAGCGTGGGTTATGCTCCAGTAGCAAACACACACAGAGCCACCCAGAAAAGGCAGCCCCTCTCAGGACATGAATTGAGGTTTGGGTTTTCATTTTTATGGCAGACTTAATCTGAGTTTGAATGATTGGAAGCGATAAACAGACCCACTGTTAGCTTGAAATCTTTACAAAACCCATTAGGTTCATAGTCTCTGTTCAGTGCCCAGTAGATGGGTGTTCACAGCGTAAGTTCCTCTACTATCGCTTGCTCTAGTTGGCTGTCTCAGCAGAGGCAAGGGGGCTGAATTGGCCACAGAGACTAGTTCCATCTCCTCTTAGGGGGAGACCCTCTGAGTTAACGGGTGCTGGTAGGGAGCAGCAGTGGGAGAAAAGATTGCAATGCCCCTGCCTGTGCTGTATTACTCGGTAACACACAGAGATAGTCACACTTTTTTCAAGACTGTTCCTTACTCCGGCACTTCAAGTTCAGAAGGTGGAGCCCACAAGAGACCTTAAAAATACCTTGCCTCTAGAGGCTTTTGCTTAAAAACTCCCCATGGTCACAGTTTCCCTGATCTTGGGAGGTATGTTGCAATCACCCAAGTGAAAAAAAAACCCTTTCTTCTTGAACCCAGGAAGAAATTTGCCATCACCCAAGTGAAAAAAAACCCTTTCTTCTTGAACCCAGGAAGAAATCACTTGGGAACTTCTTCCAGAGGGGTATCCCAAGCTCTTTTACCACGAGAGAGCTTGAAAAAACAAACTGTAATTTCTGATAGGTAACCTCTCAGTCTTAGGCATGCATACACAGACCTCTTACTATCTTCCAGGACACAAGAGTCAGCTCATAGTCTTAAAAAAGGTGATTTTATTAACAAAGCAAAAAGATCTACTTGGGAAAGCACACTTGGTTGCTCGGTGTTATAAAGCAACTGGGGAAAACAGGTTAAAGCACAGAGAATTGCTTCCCTGGGATACAGCTTTAGTGGCAGTGTATGAGCAGGGAGGCACATGGACTCAGCATAGAGGAGTTTAACCAAACAAGAAAACAAAGAAAATAATCCGATTGTGTCTAAATAACTATTCCCTATCACTAACATATCCATATCTTAAGGTCCAGTCCATTTGGAACAAAAGACAGGACTGTGTAGCACTTTAAAGACTAACAAGATGGTTTATTAGGTGATGAGCTTTCGTGGGCCAGACCCACTTCCTCAGATCAAATAGTGGAAGAAAATAGTCACAACCATATATACCAAAGGATACAATTAAAAAAATGAACACATATGAAAAGGACAAATCACATTTCAGAACAGAAGGGGGATGCGGGGGGGGGGGGGGAAGGAAGGTAAATGCCTGTGAGTTAATGATATTAGAGGTGGGGAAGGGTAGATGTCTGTGAGTTAATGGTATTAGAGGTGATAATTGGGGAAGCTATCTTTGTAATGGGTAAGGTAGTTGGGGTCTTTGTTCAGCCCCCCGTGGAGAGTGTCAAATTTTAGCATGAATGCCAGTTCAGAGGATTCCGTTTCAAGTGCAGATTTGAAAGTCTTCTGAAGTAGGATGCATGTGATTAGGTCATTGAGACAGTGTCCTATGTGTTCTATCACAGTCCATTTGGAGTATTGTGTCCAGTTCTGGGCACCGCATTTCAAGAAAGATGGGGAAAAATTGGAGAGGGTCCAGAGAAGAGCAACGAGAATGATTAAAGGTCTAGAGAACATGACCTATGAGGGAAGGCTGAAGGAATTCAGTTTGTTTAGTTTAGAAAAGAGAAGACTGAGGGGGGACATGATAGCAGTTTTCAGATATCTAAAGGGTGTCATAAGGAGAAGGGAGAAAACTTGTTCATCTTGGCCTCTGAGGACAGAACAAGAAGCAATGGGCTTAAACTGCAGCAAGGGAAGTTTAGGTTGGACATTAGGAAAAAGTTCCTAACTGTCAGTGTGGTCAAACACTGGAATAAATTGCCCAGGGAGGTTATGGAATCCCCATCTCTGGAGATATTTAAGAGCAGGTTAGATAAATGTCTATCAGGGATGGTCTAGACACTATTTGGTCCTGCCATGAGGGCAGGGGTCTGGACTCGATGACCTCTCAAGGTCCCTTCCAGTCCTAGTATTCTATGATTTCTAGGCATGAGTATCCCTGAGTATTCCTTTTCTGGGCATGAGTATCCCTGTGGTTCAATTCATCTTTTCCCCCAGCTCCTGGTCTGAAACACACAAAAAAAACCAACAGGCAGATTCTCTTTCCATTTAAGTCTCAACACTTTCTTCCTGTTGGTTCTCCTGGCTCCCTGCCAACGCTTCCTAGCTGCCTATGTTACTGAATGCTGGGATGCTTAGAAAAGACAGCACCTCTCCCTTCCATCACAACTGAGCTAAACTCCAGATTTCTACATTATTCTTCTCCATTTGTATCTTCAGTTACTTTATCCCAAAGAAGAAACAGGCACATGTGTGGATTCCTCAGTTCGGGACCTGCTCGGTGAGCTGTGGGGAAGGTGAGGCAGATGCGAGAACCAATAGTTTATTGTGGGAAGCTACTCAGGCTTCAAGTTTGGCTGGCAGCTACCCCAAGTCCTCAAACCTTCTGGACTCATTTTGCTTATTGAAAAAAACGTGTCTTGGTATCAGTTTCATATGTTTCAGTACACTTTATTAAACAAACTGAAATAAAAAGTGACCAAATCTAAGCTATTGTTACTACTATTAAAGTAAGCTAAGAATAAAGCTGTACAGCTACCAAATCACGATTAAATCAACAAGCTAGCCTCAACAAAGGACTGGAATTAAAACCTCAAATTAATACTCAAACCCTATCAACTCTAAAGAGGATTCTAAAAAAGTGGCTGTTCTTTTGGTTATAAATGCCAGCTAAAGTCTTTCATCAAAGTCAACCCAGTTTAGGATTTAGAGCTAGTTAAAGGTCTTAATACTGAAACCAAATTACGACCTAACATCTGATCTAGAACTAGATGATTTGGGGTTTTTTGCACAAAACTTTTTTTTTCTATTTTGGAACTGGGCTAAGAGGCCAATGGCTTATCTTTTAGAACCTTCACCTTGCACGAGAAAAAGTTACTTTAAAACTTTTCAAGATGAAAGCCATGTGAGAAAATCAGTGTTTAAAGTTTATATAAGGGCTGTGTTCCCATAGTTGCTCAGCCTCGACATGTTTGCAGATTCCCTTCTTCTCGGACAAAGGGAACTAACAGTTTCTTTCTGTGGGTGCGTTTACATTGCACCGTAGGTCAAAATAAGATATGCAATTTGAGCTACACAAATTGCATATCTTATTTTGATGTTATTTCAAAATTGCTTATTTTGAAAGTTGGCACTATCTACACAGCACTTATTTTGAAATAAATTGCTATTCCAAAACATCCCTTACTCCTTGTGAAATGAGGTATACAGGGATGTTGGCATAGCGAGCCCATTATATTTAGAAAAAACAGGTGTGCTCAAAAGACGCAGAATAGCACTGCAGTGTAGAAATAGCACTGCAATGTAGACGTAGCCTGTAAGAGCAAAGACCAGCCTAGAATTTCCTTTCCCTTACTCACCTGAGAACCTCAGCAATAGGGGTTTTAATATTTTTATTGAACTTTTGTTGCCAGGGGTGTTACTGGTAGATCACTCCTGCTTTGACCAGACCAGGAATGAAATAACAGACGATCAGCTGTGTTTGGAGACCCCACGTCCCCCTTCCAGGCAGGAACTCTGCGCTAAGGCACCATGCCCACCAGGGTGAGTATTCCCTGAAAGAACTTTTCCACCTCTAAGCTACAGTCTCTTGTCACTAGAGATGGGCACAGCTGGCTCTCGTCCTTTCGCAGCTGGGTGGCGGGGGCCTTTGGCCCCTGCAGCGCCACATGTGGGGGAGGAGTGATGGAGCGGTTGGTTCGCTGTATGAAGAAAGAAGGTGGCTTGGTCCTGACTCTTCCCGATTCGAAATGCCTGGATGCTCCCAAACCTGCCTCCACCGAGGCATGTAGCACTGAGCTGTGCCCCGTAAGGTAACTCAGAGGCTCGCTGAATGGGGGAGGGAGGAGAGGATTGCATCATTGACTCTCTTTCAACCCTTGGTCAGTGTGTCAGTCGGGTCATCAGGACGGGCTATTGCATGTTCTTTTTTCTTGAGGGCACCTTGTTCCTACCCTGCCCATGTAACCGTTTCAATTACCGGGCCCTTCTTGGTGCCTTCTGCTGGGGCAACAATCCCTGAAGCAGGGAGTTTGGGTATGCAGCCCCCACACATCTGTGGGGACTCAGCCACAAGGAGATGTTTGCCCCTCCTTTCCAATCACAGAGACCACATGTTCTCCCCAGAGGCATGGTTCGTAACTGGGAGAAGGTCTAAGTGTTGTCTAGGCTGGAGTAGGGCGTCTGGGTTCTTTTATCAGCTCAGCCGCTACTTGCTGTGTGACCTCTTGACCATACCGCAGCACTGCTCTGTGCCTCAGTTTCCCTGTGTGTGACATGGGAGGAGCAGTCCCTACGGACTGAAGGCAGTAATCTCCTGGTGAAGGTGTAACTAGTGCTTTGAGATCCTGGTGCGGTGCCATCATTTCCCATTTAGATGGAAGGAATCTGAGCCAGGCAAATGCTCAGCCAGCTGCGGGCTCGGCGTCAGCCAGCAAAACGTGACGTGTGTCCGGGTCCTCGCTGGACTGGAGACCACAGTAGACAACAGCCTGTGCCCGGAGGACGAGAAACCCCCTACCTTTGTGCCGTGCGTGGTTAACATCTGTCCACTAGGCTGGAACACAGTGAGTACATTGGCCTGGCTAGTGGGCAGCTCACACACTGCCCTGTGGGGGGATCGCAGGCTGGGGAGCACCATCTTTTGCTGGAGGTGGAGCCGGTGTTATGCACACGACTGTTTGTTAGTCCGGAATTCCAGGGAGTCGCTGCAGGAAGCCTTGCTCACCTTAGATTAGTGATGGGCAACCTAGGCTAGTGAGAGGACCTGGCCACCCATCTAACCCCAACGGGCGGCCTGCAGGTCACGAATTGCACCAGTGTCTTAGATCATTCAGGAGCCAGATAAACCCTTGGGCAGCATCATACCCATTTCCTTCCCTATGCAGCAATATTGCTCCAGGCAACGCAGAGCCACAAATGCTGTAGCATTTATCACAGAGCCATCCCCTCATGAACTCACCCCACATCAAGAAAACCCTGGTGCTGTCTCTGAGGGTGTGTCTAAACTACAGGGCTTTTTCGAAAAAAGTGGCCTTTTTTCGAAAAAAACTTCCCCTGCATCTAGACTGCCGCTGCATTCTTTCGAAAGTAAATCGAAAGAACGTGGCAGTTTTTTCGACCATGGAACACCTCGTTTTACGAGGAAGAACACCTTTTTCGAAAGTGCAAACTGTGCTTTTTTGAAAGAGAGCATCCAGACGGCCTGGGTGCTCTCTTTCGAAAAAGCAGCTCGCTTTTTCGAAAGTACTGGTTTTAGTCTAGACGCTCTTTTTCGAAAGAGGCTTTTTCAAAAGTATCGTTCGAAAAAGCCTCTTTTGAAAGAGGCTTGCAGTCTAGACGTAGCCTGAGAGGGAGCTTGGTGTTTGCTGCCCGACCGCAGAACGAAACCGGAAAGGGAATTGATTTTCTCCAGGGGTTATTTAATGGGGTGTAGAGACTGTCCCCTTCAGGTCGCTAGTTCTAAGCCAGCCCAGGTTGGGTATAACCAAAAGTCATGACTACTGAAGATAGGTTAACAGTCTGAAAACAGAGAAGTTGGTGGTAGAAGTCTGTCCACATCAGAGAACCAGTCCCGCGGCACAACGTGGACCTAGAGGTGCCCATACAGGCAGACTCAGCCAAGGGACAGAGAGTTACTGGCCAGGAACTCTGGAGAGACTCTCTCCACATGGCTGAGCTTCTTGGTGGGACACTCTGAGACAGGAGTGGGCAATAATTTTTGATGCCGGGGGCACTCCAAGATTTTGGTAAGTGGTCAAGGGCTGTACTTTTCTATGGAGGCAGTGCAGGGTCTGGGGCAGAGGCTGGGTGCAGCAGGGAGCTTGGGGTAGGGGACTGGGGTGCAGGAGAGGGGGGGGTCTGAGAGGGAGTTTGGGTGAAGGAGGGGAGTTGTGATCTGAGGCAGAGGGATTTGGGTGAAGGGTCCGGGAGAGCGTATGGGTGCAGAAGAGGATTCTGGCGTGGGGGAGAGGTGTAGGAGGGGGTGCAGGGTCTGGGAGGAAGTTGTGACCTAGAGCAGGTGGGTGCAGAGGTTTTGAGTGGTGACCTGTGGCAGGAGGGGATGGTGGCCTGGGGCAGGGAGTTGGATTGCAGGAGGAGAGGGGTGCTA